CCTCTCGAGCTGAAACACTGAGTGACAAATCTGTACTTAGTGGGCCTAAATCAATAAAACCAGACTGACCCAATATTACATTTCTTCCACTATTATCCCACACTCAGTAGCCATTCCTATCCATATCCTCCAGGTTTCTGTCTATACATGTTAACAAAATCAAGTAGGTCTTTTCAGGTATAGCGTACCACCTCCTCAGTCACACTTTGTATTTCACCTTTTGGGACTTGCTTGGACTTGAGTTTAGTTCTAGATCTAGCAGCAAAAATGGGTGTTTGGGGGCAGTTCCTGAGAACATTCAGCAATGTCTTCCATGGCATCTACCTCAGGCAATGACCCAGCAGGAACAGTTGGGTTAATTGCATCTAACTGAGGTGAAAGTGATGATGGCTTTATAGTAATCCCTCCAGATGGGAGGGATTGAACACAATTTACAGGCTCCATATCCTCATCTTGTTGACTCTCTGCCCATATGTCCCCATTCCAAGTTTCAGGATCCTACTTTTTCCCAATCAATGCCCTCACTTTAACATCAGACACCATTCTGGGCTGGCATTTCAGTTGGTGTTGTAATTCATCTACCCTTACAATAAGACTTTGGGTTTGGTTTTTGGTAATATCAGCTCTGTTACTAGAAGAAATAAGGCTTTCTTTCAGGGCACAACTGGAAACATTGAGGTCTTTTATGTGGCGCTTAAGCTTTAACTCAGCAGCCCTGAACTCATCTCACTCTTTCACCACTTGGTCCAGGGTAAGTAGGACCAACCAACCAGTTTCCTTATACTGTTCGTGCTGCAGGATTGCAGAAAAGTATCGTACATGTGATCTCTCAGAGCCTCACTTCTCAAAAGTACTTGATCTATTGGTGGTGCTATTTTGCATATTAATGTTGCCACCTCATGCCACGGATTAGCAGTGCCCTTTTCACTAATGCAGGCAGAGTCACCAGTGCCTTTACGGGTTAGTCAAATTGGAGAACCAAAACAATCAGTGAGAACCAATTTAGGAAGACCATCCTTTTGATGTTGTTTCTCTAGAACTACTCCATTACCAACTGTGTTAGGCTGGGTTCTATAGAGAAGCAAAACCAGTAAAGCTTATATATGCATGTGTGTGTGTGTGTGTGTGTATCAATTTACCTTAGGAAAATGGCTTACACACTTAACAGAAGCTGGCAAGTCCCAACTCAGATCAAATGTCAAGCTGGAGGCTTTTCCCAACTCACACAGCTACAGGGGCTGACGAGCTCAAGGTTGGCTGTTGACTCCAACGATGACAAATCCAAGATCTCCAGGCTGAATGCTGGATTGTTCGCTTGCAGACAGTTGTAGGCATCACAACAGGATCCCGTTCCACAGATCACAGCCACAGAAAACACTGTTAGTCATCTTTTGCTGCTGTGACAGAAATATCACTCACATGAGGGTGGCTTTAAGAAACAGATTTATTTTCTCAACAACAACAGCAGTCACTGCTACTGAGTTGATTCCATGTCATAGATCCTATAGGACAGAATGGAACTGTCATAGGGTTTCCAAGGTTGTAAATCTTCATCAAAGCAGAATACCTCATCTTTCTCCCATGGAGCAGGTAGTGGGTTTGAACCACTGAACTTTTGGCTAGCAGCTGAATGCTTTAACCACTGTGCCACCAGAGCCCCCCTTTTCTCACGGTTTAAGAGGCTTGAATTTGAAATTCAGTGTGCCACCCTGTTGGCTCACCAATGGTAATGAAGGAAGAAGTCAAAGCTGCAATGAAAGAACTGGCGAAGAACAAGGCTCCGGGAATTGATGGCATACCGATTGAGATATTTCAACAA